TGTATTGTAGATAGAAACAACTTTAATTCCAGCCAGAACATGTTGCATAAATAAACGGTTGGCCATCTGTAGCATTAAAGACACTACAGATCTGTGCATGACATAATTATCATGCAGCGCAGCCGGTTTAATCCAATCCATGACTCATCATGTGAACATCAGTCTGTTTTCATCAGAAAGCCTCCACGGCTTTCCTCAATAGCTCAACTTTACGAAGCACTCGGAAAAGCTTCGGTTGCTCCATAAGGTCAAGAGCCGGCCGCTCTTAATTCTTGCGGGTTAACATTTCGTTTTTCTTCTTTCCCCACATGGTCCATTCTCCTTGTTATTCACCCACAGCACAATACAGCAGGGTCTGGTAGATTTCAGCCCTGCTTAAGGCATTAGCTGGGAGAGATTATCCCACCAGCAGCACGCATCCTCTCATACAATCACTCCGGACAGACACGTGTCTGATATGTGGCCTGCTTTACTACCTCTGATCAGACTCGGCCTCCCGGTGAGGGATGCTGATCTCCGTTAGCGCTGAAATGTGAGGTCGACCTTTGTTATTTTCTATAACAGAATGGCTGCAATTTACCACAACGTTTGATTTTTTAGAAATACACTAACATTTGATGTTCCTATTGCCATCTGACCAAACGTTTGTGTGGTACATTTTATGCTACTTTATGTACTTCTACTCCATCTCAGATACATTATGATATATTATTATAGGTTAAGCTACTTGGCAGCATATGAAGTACTTAAAATCACCTCCACCTTTACCAAAATAAAGTACATTTTGACGCTGATGCTTTTGTACTTTTACTGAAGTATATTTTGAATGCAGGAATTTTGGAGTATTTCTACAATGTGGTATTGCTAACTTTGCTTCAGTAAAAGAAAATGTAACAATAACAAAACATAGAACATAATACATATTTGGTAGAAACTATTAGTAATATTCATGCGTTTAGAGGTATTTCTGGTGGTCCAATTTGACGATATTTGAGAATCGGTTGCAAAACAACAATGCATTCACAAGTTAAGAAAGTTCCAGCCTTTAAAACTGCTCATGAGTGCACCATTCTGATTGACTGCCACTAAACTACAACATGACAACCTCTGAAGGGCAAAATGAGAATTGTTAAATAAAGTATTTTCAAGTGGATGCAGTTGTTATAAAATATATATAAAACATACGGTGTGTACTTTAATGTTGAAAGGTGATGATGACTCAGGCAAATGGACGACGAAGCATCAGCCAAGTCATTGACAGTGTCTGTTGTGTTTGGCGTTGGATAGCTGGAACTCTGAGTAGCAGACATTTGGCTTAAAATGTATGATTGATGTGACTGCACATTGTTGATTCTCATACCCACTCTTCTCTTTCCTATATTTGTAGAGAATAACATTACAATCTATTTGTTTAGACTCTGCCTCGTCGGGGGCAGGGTCGACCCTTTTATTTACCCGCAGTGACGGAACAGAGAGGATGTCAAAAAATCACAAGTTCCTGCTCCTGAAATGAAAACAAAAATCATCTCGAGGGGCTCGTACAAAACATCTCAACACAAATAACAGCTCGACAGCTTCAGTGATGCTGCTCAAAGTCTGACCTTAATCTCTACTTCACCAAATAATAAAATAATTGCCACCCTGGGATCAATAAAATCACACAACAAATGTAAAATAAACTGTCAAGTTACCCAAACAAACAGTAAGGAGCCTCAAACAGGGAACCATCGGGTATTAATGAATACTTAGTCTGTCTCTGGTAAGTGCACTGTATGTGAGAGGGGATTTAAAATGTCTCTCACACACTATTTCACTTCCCCCTTAATGAACAGCTTGTAAACATTGGACAAAGGTGCCTAAAAAAACAATTTTGCAACAATATACAGTGTCTTTCAGGACTGAACCGTGTTGTTCACCACAATCAACAAATGTGTTTTTGCTTGCCCAGATTTCAAAACTTTACCGCTGCATTTAATACAATTGATCGTCTCATTTTAATCAATAGACTTGATGAGTAGGTCTCTCTGGTGTTGGGCTTGGCTGGTTTTGCTCATACTTGTTACTTAAGTTTTATTTTAGGGGATTTTGTGTCACAGATATTTAATATTGATTATGGTCTTCCTCCAGGACGTATTCTGGGTCCTATACTTTTTTCTAAGGCCTAAATGCTCTCTCTGGGATCAACATGATGTCAAATTACTTAACTAAATAATTTAAAAATAAATTTGCAAAAGTCAGAGATTGTGCTTGAAGGATCAAAAGTAGACAGACAGCAGTTTGGTTGTCTGTTCAGAGACACAAGGGAGCAGTTTTAGACTCTGATCTATATTTGATTTCAGCTTATAATAAGGTCAAAAAGAGACCATTTTCAACGAAGCAATGCTGAAATGCGGATACGTGCCTTTATTACAAGTAGGTTAGATTACTGCGACTCTGTTTTTACCAGACTACCTAAAAAGTTAATTCAGAATGATGCAGCCAGCATTTTGACTAATATGCATTACATTAACTGCATTACTCCACTGCTCGTGATTCTGCACTAGCTACCTTAATTGTTTCGAATCAAATTTAAAGTCCTTTATTTGTCTACAAGAACTCTGCCTCTGCAACATCTTCCACTGCCTTTCTTTTAGAACATCCTCATCTTTCCCGATAGAAATGTGGTGAGGCTGCTCCCTCTGTGTTTTAAAAAAGAAATTAAAGACCTAACTTTTTAATCTGGCTTTTAATTTGGGGTAATCCAACTTTGTCAGCTCTCACATTTCTGGCATTTATATGCATTTTCCCTGTCAGTTATAAAGTAATCCTTCTACCTCTGCTTCCAATAGGAAGTGTTGCAGTCGATGCTTATTTATCTTAGAATATGAAACGTAACACGTGATGTTTTTCAGAAAGATTGCATAGAGTTACAGAAGAAAGTAAAACAGCGGCGAGCCTGTGGTGATGTTTGCAGACAACACATAAATCATTGCTGCTCTGTTTATGTGGATTCTTAATCCTAGACATGTAAAACTCGTCCACTCTCGTCTCCCTGTGACTCTCTGTAGCATCACTGTGACTCTCTGTCTCAGTGTCGGGCCTCCACACGGGTATTCTCAGAGCCCGGCTGGCCCGCGACCAACGAGGCCACCGGGCTTCTTGTGGTCCTCCGCCGAGCTGGCACGAGTGACACACAAGGCAAGCTGTGCTGACAGCCCTAAGACAAATGACCTGTTAACGATCTCGCTCTTATCACATCCCACACTTTTTGGCTGTGATTCAATTAACGCATTGATCTCCCATACTGAGAATATGCATGCAAACCTAATTTAAATAACTAAATTACCTTAAAAAGGCAATAAACTTTTATACTGCTGCATAGTAAAATGACTGCAACACGTATCCTGGGGGCATAATTGCAGCTTTAATGGCATCAGGGACTCTCTCTCTCCTAATGGCTAGCACACATTGGCATTTCAAGACTCTGGCATTTCAACACATGTGGTGCTGCACTGTGTGAATTCTCACTGCTGCTGTTTTAAGTATTTCTTTTAAAGGTTCTTTAAGTTTTCACACAGTCAATCGAGTTTTATTCATACAGCACCTTTCAAACGAATCAAATGCAATTCAGAGTGCTTTACAAGTGATTGACAGGACAAAAACAAGATGGAAATGGAGGCAAGATGAAGAGACTAATGCACAGCAAATTAAGTTAAGAAGAAATTAATAAATAAAATACAACCCTGAATAAATTGATTATGGTAAAACACAAAAAAGTAAAATTAGAGGGAATTGAAATAAAAGACACTGTATAAAATCTGACTTTATAATAAGCAATAATTATAATTAAATAAACATACAATATTACATCAAAGCCAAACTGAATAGATGGGTTTTTAGTTTCAGTTTGAAAATATCAATATTATTTTGGAGGCCAAACATATTTCATGCATTTCATGCAAAAGGAAAGTTTGCCCAAAAATGCAGCAGACAGACAGAAGCCTATCTGGCTATATGAAGATATTTATTGATCTCCAAGTAGGGACATTTACACCGCAGTGGGTACATAAAACATGAAACGGACATTCACTCAAACATTCACATGTAACAGTATAGAACAGAAATAAGAGGCAGAAATCTGTTAAAACGGCGTAGTGTTAGCGGTTGGTGCTAGCTTAATTCTCTGTGGCTTCAGCAGTTTGAGGTGCTGTTTCACATTACACGAAGATATTTCAGTGTCACTATAAACATATTACACTTTTGGAGCTTAAATGGAGGATTACCCTCTTATCTAAACGTATTTACAATTCCTTAGTATGTGTGAAGTGGACTTATTTGACCTTTAACACAGTGATTAAGTGGTATTGTGGGTAGATAACGACGGTTTACTGAAATATTCCTTCGTCACTGTCTATCATTTTTTAGTTAATATTTATGCGTTTAACAGAAATGTGTCCATTGTCTTTTCACAACCCTCTTCCTTGTTGATTCACACAGAATACGTTATGACTGCCTCCATTACCTCCACCACCCAGCGCCAATACAGACACATGGTTTTGATAATAGAGTTACCAAGAAGTACAAAGGAGCCTAAAATAATAAAGCATATTAGATATTAAAGCCTCAGCTTCTCAGTTAAACTCCATTCTAATAGAGTTTTTTTCTACAGTCAAACTAAGTGCTGTGACTGAATTCCAAATTCTATTTTTGGAATTGATTACTGGCCTATTACAAACACAATGATTAACAGTCAAGTTTTAATATTAAAACATTTCATTTTATTTATTTATTTTATCACAATAATCAGAAAGTAGAAAATCTCCAGCGTTGACGTAAATGAAACGCACTAATAATCTACTGTAGATATTGTTCTGCATCTATCTAGTTGTTGGTCTCTGAACACACATGCTGTACAGTAAGGCAGACGTTTTAAGCCGTTTAGCTGATCTTGCATCTTTTTGTGTTATTCTACCACAATTCTACCATGTGACTAATCTGTGTTTTCTCTTTTTCTCTTCCAGTGAAGAAAGCCAAACTCCACGGGCCTCCAGGTAAGAGCTAATGCATCGTACTGAATATCTGTTGATGTTTGAGCATTGAGAGGTGTGGTCATCAAATTAAGAGTGACAGCTGTGTCTCAACAATCGTCTTTATCTGAGTTATATGTGGCTGGAGCTGAGATTTTACAGTAAGTCCGGAGGAGGTAGTGACCTTAGGACTAGAGAAAGAGATGATTGACTTTCCAGTTTGTGGAGAATTTGATAGTTTCTTCTTCGGGATATATATTGTTAACGTTTTCAGCATCCACTGAAGATGTTTTATGTTATAGGAGACAATCATCCCAAGGTCCAGTGCAGTCAGAACTCGGGTACGATTCGGTGGAGTATGAAAACACCCGTAAAGATGGCAAAATCAAAAAGCTGTCTTTAAGAAAACTTGTCCCATGAGTGTGTTTTAAGTTTTAACAAAAAAATCTGTGTAATGAGTTTTTTAAAAGCTCTGACTTCCCCCTCATTGACTTGCCTGAGGTTCAGTACAAATACTTAAACAATACTTGTGAGTGACATGATGTTCATAATGTTAGTTTCCATCTTAGTTCAATGCATTTGCATAGCACTAAACACATGTCCTTAGTTTAGCAGGTATATACTCATCAACCAAAGTACTGGTAAAATGATAAATGATGGTGCTGGAGAAATGTCATGGGATCACCAAAGTTATTGAAAATCATCCCGAGGGGAACCATGACTGTCTGTGCCAAGTTTATTGGCAGTCCATTAAATAGTTGTTGAGCTTAAAAAATGTTATCCTCATGGTGGCTCTAGACTAGGTGAAAAGTCAGGGTTTCACCAACGTTGGTAGGAACCATCATCTGTGAACCATGAATGTATGTTGAGCTTCCCACCGGTCAGAGATCAGCTGGATGTCAGTGTCCTGTACCTGTCGCTGTGAATCTTTCCAAGTGAAGCCAATGCGGAAGTACCTTAAACATGCATTATCTCTAATGTCCAGCAGGGGGCGACTCCTCTGGTTGTATAGAAGTCTATGAGAAAATGACTCCACTTCTCTCTTGGTTTATTACATCAGTAAACATTGTAAACATGAGTTTATGGTCTCAATCTCTAGTTTCAAGTCTTCTTCAATACAGCATGATGTTCATTTAGTACATTATGGTCCATTTAGAGTCAAACAGACCATAAAGCAGGGGATGCTTTAGGGCGGGGCTGCCTACAAGTTGCTACCAGAGCCGTATACGGCGTCTCTACGTCACTCTTTCCCGGCTCACTGGTTGCAGAAATCCAAGATGGCGTCTGCCAAAATGCCGAACTCGAGGCTTCAAAACCGCAGTCCACAAATTAATGGGTGACAGCTACGTCCACTACAGTCCATGCTCCATGGCCATGTACTTGGATTTCGTCAGTAGATAACAGCAGCTGAAAATATTTTTCAAACAGATCCTCGTCGGGGACGAAACATCAACAATTCAGCAGCCAGTCAAAAGTGGGACACTGTGTTCTTGTCTTTGCTGGCTGCAGCTGTTGCTCCCATCTTCTCTCCAGGCGATGATGAGGGCAGAACAACACCGACGAGTGGGAGAATAAAAAAGAAAATCAATAGATCATCACAGACAAAGGGCCACCTGCTAGCCCGAAATGACAACGTGTCACCCGGCCATAAAGGAGAAGATGGAGACAAATCTCCCAGTGTCTTTAGGAGACAGAGACAGACTCCAGACACAGGCGGTGACTAGTCATTGGCTGCCTCCGGCCTCCGATCGCAGAGCAGATTTTCAGAGCGGAAGGAAGAGATTTGATTGGCCTCCCCAGGGTTCATAAAACAGGACGTGAGTGATGGCGTTGCTACCGTACAGACAGAGCTACTGCAGAAATGCGCTTTAATTTGTTTATTCTTTAGTTCCTCTACTTCCTTGCTTTGAATGTTTAACTTGTTTATAATGCCAAATAAATTGCTCAGTTGACTGTAAAAGAAACAGCAAACCGTCCTTGAAACTTGAATCTCTTAAGCATACAGAGAAAAGTGGGGCTTGAGCAATAGCTAATTGATACGTTATGTCCTCGGGTGTTATTATTTCAGTGCTGAATTACATCGCAGTCCCCTCATTGTAAATTGTCTGAGACACACAGGAAGGAGTTCAAAAATGTCTTTTTGTGACCTAAAACAACACACCTACTTCCCCCTCAGGGCTTCAACACATGTAGGCAATAGAGAGTAAACCCTGAGTGCAGTTCTGTCATGTGACACGATTATTAGTCTCAGGTCAGACACAACTAGTAGAGTTTGTCCCACTCTAATGTCCCAGTTTGGGAAACATGATCTGATTTGTCTTAATAGTAAAAAGCAATAGATTCTTTGCCTTAGGGGGAGCTGGCTGATGTCCCAAAGCTCCCCTGAAACCCCACTGGTGGAAGACCCCTGGGATAAGTTGGCTGGTATATGTGTCACTTTATTAGTTTAAAAGATTTAAGGCACATTATCCTGTTTTTAGCCGTGCTGTAACTGTGGCTTTGGAGACGTTCATGGCAGGTAGCCTGTTGGTTCTTAGATGATTATTCCTGTATTTTATAAAATCAGGCTCTATTTTCTTTAACTTCGCTAGACAGCTTTTTCAAGTCACTTGTGACAATATTCATCATTATCCATATTATGATGGAAATTTACACAACCAACTTTTGAGTGTCTTTAATCGCAATAACATTCTATATCGTCCCATCACTCCTCTCGATAGAACTCATGATGTAGTTATTTCGTCTAGCACCGCAGGCGCTTGAATCGGGTCGGCATCGCACCACTTCCCCATTTATTTATTTTTTTAAATGCAAGCCTTATAGTCGGTCATATGACAGTTTTGAAAAGGGGCAGTTTGAGTCACAAATATGTAACCTCACTGCAAACACTTTGACTTGACTTTATCTTGTATTTCATTTTTTTAAAGTGGAAATTCGGGTTTGGGCTCAAAACTGTGGCCGTGGTTCGGGCTCAGGTCGGGCTTTGACAGAAACCATGCAGGTCCATGTAGGTTCAGGCTTGATTTTCTTTGGAATCATAGCTTTTCAGTCAAAGCCCTTATACAGTAGTCAAATTCTGACTCCTACGGTACTTTGAAATCAATGCTAACGTGCTAACAACTCTGATTGTGTTGCTTTAGTATTAAAAAATTCCGTGAAAAAGCTTTGTCCCAAAGAAATAATCCTATTGCAAAAGTTTGGCAGTGTCAGCTTCATGCATGCCATTGACATACTGTAAGTATATACAATATATATTTTTTATTTATTTTTTAGTTGGTCAACCAGCCTTTTAATTAGACATCAAGTAGTTTCCCAAAAGGTTCAATCCACAGGACACAATGATTTCTCCAATAATGCTAAAATGTTTGGATTTGTGACAGTTGTTCCAGCCTATTTTGGTACAAATGTTGCTCATATTTTAGTTGCAGTGCACTGGAGAACAGTCATGTGGCACTTTGTGTCATTTACAGTCCACTCAAATAGAAGAGATTGGTGCCAGAATATTGTAATTCACCTTCAGTTATAGAGTCAAAGGCCACTTAGGATGTTCATGTGGAAGGTGATCCACTCCACAACAACGCTAGCAGCCTATTTAATTAAATACTTCCTTTCACTCAAGTTGAAGGGATGCGACTGGTGATATCAGCTGATATCGGCTTTTGGGTCTTAACACCACTTACCGTACTGGCAAAATCTCTGGATTAGAGGTTTGATGAAGTGGGATTTTAATAAGAGGGGAACTAGTTTGAATCTCAAGCTGCTTTGGAAAAACAATCCTGACAGGAAACAAAAAGGGTCCTTAACAGATTGCTTCAGTGGAGTTTTTAATGGTAAAAAGTGTGAATTTATTTTCCTCTTGGCTCGTGGTTTTCTTTCCTTTTCTGTACGAGTGCCGACACTTTTGGACTGTACTTGTCATAAAAAGTAATTAACCTTAAGCATCAGACTTCAGGTGTGTTTGAACAGGAAATTGTCTGAAAGAATGTTGTTTTTCATACCTGACGCGTTGCTCATCACCACTAGTGGTTTTCTTGCCGTGATGGCCGTCGCAGCCTAATGAATGCAGAGGAATCCTTGACAATAACGAGGAAATGGTGTGGGTGGAATGTCTCAGCACTGTCTGAACTGAACTGTCTGTTGCCCATTGCAGACTGAAAACATTCCTCCTGAGTCACCTTAGTTTATTTGAAAGCAATTGCCTTATTATTCTCAAAACAAGCTGACAAACCCAAACGACATGGACACTGAGTGGACACAGAGCAGCATTAACGTTCAATTAGAGTCATGTTTTCGACCACCAGATGAGTTTAATATTCATTATTTTAAGCTATGTTTTGGTCTCCACCATCTCCTGAGAAGATAGTTTAGTGCTGACCACGTAGGCTGCAAGCAGATGTCTGCAGACCATAAAGAAAAGGCCACGCAAAACTAAAGCAAAAATCTTATGAGGCAACAGATGGTGGTTATTTGTGGTAGGTTTGTCACAACAAGCGACCCCACCGTCACTTGATTCTATGTCAATATGAAAACATTAATTAACCAAGATTTTAAGAAATGTAAAGCAGGTCGTGCTGTTGAAAGAAATGCAGCTGAAATAATAAGAGACCGTCCTGTCTGTTTGCACTTAAGAGACCAAAATAATCTAGTCTCCGTTCAATATCTCTTCATCCACCAAAAGCTCTCCAGCCTCCTCCTGTAATAGAGTGTTCATTACTGTAGACAGCCTAGTAAATGTCATCTTGCCTGGCCGTGCCGTGCATGTCCATGTGTAACCAAATATAACTTATTTATTTTCACAAGTCATCGCCACTTAATTATAAATGACACTGGCTGCTCCCCAAGAGTGTCCCGCTGCATGCTGGGATATGCCCTCCCCACCACAGTGAGTTTGCTGCTTACTGGAGGAAGGTGTGTTTGTTTATGTGTGTGTGTGTATGTTTGCATGCATGCATGCAACCTAGCATTTATGGAGGTCATGTTTTATGACAGCCCGGGTGGTGTCAAGCGAAATAGATTTTAAATATAGTATATTTATATGTACGTATATAGAAAATTCTTATTTTTCAGTTTATTTTTGTGTTTGTTTCTGCTTTTTTTTCGTGGCAGGTCCAGTTGTTGAGTTTTCCTCATTTTTCCCTGCCACCTTTAGATCAGGTTGTAAATAGGGCTGTCTGCACCCTGCCAGTCCCCTCGTACCCTCAATCACAGAACTGGCAACCACCTTAAGTGAATGATGGATTATTCTTGTTTAACCATTTCGACCTCCTGTCTTTTGCCTTCGTCATTACGGCTGAGCTCGGCGAGGTGACGGATCGGCCACACGTCTGACATTTCATGTATCTCACATCAGAATGAAATCTAGGCACAATATTAACAAATTCAACTGCATCTATCTTGGATTTCCCACATGAGATACAATCTGGTCCTAACCCGTGGCTGAAGACGGTGGTATTGCAACTAAATCTGTTTGCACACCGCTAGAAATTCAGCCCAGTATCACGGCAGTTTGTGAAATAGTCACAAAACGCAACGTGCTAAATTCATGAAAGCATTATTAAAGCAGCGAACAACTATTTGCTTTGTAAAGATATTAGGAGTGCAACTAACAAGTATTTTGAAAATGTATTAATCTGTTGATAATTATGGGATAAAAGTATTTTTTTCAGCATTTCATTCAAAAAACAAAACGTGTACGTTGTATTCTTGTAAATGCTCTTCAACCTTCATATTGTATATGCACCCATGCACTGTGAATAAAAGGCAATATGCTCTGAATTTCAAATGTATCACCTTAGATAGATTAATTAAGGCTTCATCAAGTCCCAGAGCTTAATGATTCCAGGGATTTTACCCACTTGGAGCCACAGCTAAATTGGAAATTGGAACCAAACGCTGGTAATGTAATGTAATGATTTATGCAGCTGAACAGTCGCCTCATCTTCACTCCAAATCCACTGACGCTGCCCCTCAGCTCCTCTGGCCCCTCTTTAAAAGAAAGTGGATGTTAGATGGAGAACACAGATGTACAAGGACACACACATACACACACCAACACTGTGTATGCTCAGAAGAGTGGGCTACTTGAGGAGGTAATCAAGCAGGGATTAGGTGGTTGGTGGCTCAATCCTCCTTGGTCTATGCTGATCACTGTGAGCTGGATGGAAGGACACACACCACACACACACACACACACACACACGCACACACACACACACACACTCTACACACACCTATTTTTGTCCCTGAGGAAGACATTGGGTTAAGTTTATTTTGAATTAAAGGCCAACATACAACACAGTTGGCTTTTAACTGCCTTTCTGATGTCCTTATTGGCAGGATGGGATAGTTTGACAGTGTCCTCCAAAAAACTGTTACTAAATTTAAATTTTCCAAAACCACTACGGTTATTAAGGTTTTGGTTGATTTAGGCACACAAGGACGGTCACACGGACATTAGCTGACGTGGAATCATGCTGAAGTAACGTTCAGATCTTTAATACTCAAAAGGACCTTCTCAGAGCTCCTAAAAGGTCAATTTGAAAGGTCAGTGTTCTCCGCTCATCCCCGTCCTTGTAGTTATAAAAGTTTGGATGTGCATGGAAAGCCCAAAACCTGCCAAACGGAGCCCTCTCCAAGGACCATGTGTGATGGTGTGACGTCACTTTTGGTCGTCCCGACACTTAATGACAAATGCCGATTTAAGTGTAGTCTCCGTAAGTGAATTTGCAACAACCTATAAAGCTGCATCGATCTAATTTTTCTAATATTTATGTTGCTCTTTTTCATGGATTTCAAATGAACACAACAGACCTGTTTGAATCACAAAAAACTTGAGATGTGGGCATCTGTTTTAGAAGTCTGCAACCAGGCTTCATATTCACAAGCGTAAATGTTGAATTCAATATTTTAGGTTGCAAGGATACAGCAGTTCCAGTGAGAGAGGACAAAGTTAAGGTGACGTATCCATTAACATCAAAGTCCCCAGATTAGGGAAAAGTAAACTCAGACACTCAATGAGAACACGGAGGAACCACCAGGAACAAGAGAGGGTTATTATCTTCGTAGAATAACCAAATGCAGCTTTAACATGACTGAATATCAATACAATAAGATGAAAATGGACCAGCGTCCATAGAAAAGAGGAGAAAGAGTCATGTAGTTCAGGGTGTGATGAGGAAATGTAATGAGACCGTGGTTCACCACCTGAAGTGGCTTTTCCTCGGTACAAAATATTCCTTGTTCAGCGGCGACCATAGTTAATAGTGACACCACGTTGCAAATGAGCTTTATTAAAAGGCACACTACAGTTAGTTAAGGTGCAGTTGTAAAGTGCCTTTGAGTAGCTTTTTAAAGCGCTCTACAAATGAAATGTATAATTCATTTGACTATTTGATCTTTGTTCTTCCTCTCTTGTGCTGGGTGTCTGATTACGGAGGATTTCAAAGGTTGAAAATGGAAATTTTGTACATGTACTGAATGCAAACAATATTAATGGCTGTGATCTTTTTTTAATAAGATATTTTCTTTACAGCAGAATAGAAACTGGTTTGTAAAGAAGAGAAGAGAACAGAAATAAAAAAAATAAAGACCAAAACATGCAGTAATATCAGACATCATTGTTGGACACGTTTATAATTTTTATGTTATCGCCTTATCGTACACATATGGACATGGCCTCGATTATTTTTATATCATTGACTTACTGTACGATATATTGACATGACCTCCATAATTGTTTATTTCATCAACTTATTATATGATATATGGACATGGCTTCGATTATTTTATCGCCTTATCGTAAGACGTATAGACCCGACTTACATAATTTTTAAGTTATTGGTTTATCGTACGATATAACGACATGACCTCGATGGTTGCCATTTATGTTTACATGCGTGTCATTTTACATGACCTCAATAATTTTTGGCATTATCCTACGATATAGGGACACAAGCTTTATCAGTTTTTGTATTGACTTTTTAGCCGACATGATGCCAGAATAAACAGCGGGGTTTCCCCTCCCATCATAAGACTTGCTCATCTATGTTATTTCTCAAGGTATTGTATCGAAGCTAGAAATTCCAGTATCGTGAAAACTATACGTGTTGTGCGTTTCTCACAAAACTTATTTGGTAAAACAAATTAGCTGTATATGAATGACATTTTTGGGAGACATTTACCTCCTTAGTTTCACTCAGATTCTTCTCTTGTAAAAAGTTTTTTTAAAGTTTACTTTGTAATCTGTCTCAACAAATTCACTTTTCTGTGCAAAGACATTTGATCAAATGTAGTGTGTTGCTTGTGAGGACAGATCTGTGTTGTTTGTTGATCCATTTTTAATCGGCATCATTATGGCTTTTTAGGACTGTATTTGATGAGGTATGACTCGGGTTTCATTGCCTTTAATGGGACTTGCGCTTGATCACTGCTGTCTGACACGTCTGCACAAACATGCTGCCCACTGTGGTTTGTAGTTTTTGCAGTATTTAGTGATTTAAAGAAAAAGCTTAATGTATTGCACAGGCTAAAATTAGCATATGCTCTGTGTTTTGTGGTCCACTCCTGTGTCGGGGATAATGATTTTCCCTCTTTTATATATTATGTAAAATTCTGCCTGAAATCTTCTGTCTAACTGTGTTCCTTATAGTCATTGTCCTATGTGGGTAGTTTTAATTACTTCTCCCCTGTCTGAAAAATCCCTCATGTGTTTTCTTTTTTTTCTAGCCTTTGTTTATCTCCCCTTCATCTTTCCTTGAGCTCCAAAGATGCTTCACCGCTCCAGAAATAATAGCTGTTTACTTTATTGTAAGGCAGGGATTGAAATTTATATTTCCTGTAGTTCAATCAATGAGTCCGATGGGTATCTGGAGCCTGAGGATGGAACAAACAGGACAGAACAAAAGAAACGATCAGTTAGGAGACGACATTTTAAACATGGAAATGTATGCATGACAAAAATGACACAATTTTGTTCCCATAAAAGTATTCTGTAAAATAAGACATCCTCAGATTATTCCTCACAAAACATTAGCAGCTATTTAATCAAATTGCAAAATCAGAGTCACAGTTTTGCTTTCTCCTCTTTTCCAGACAAGTTCAACGCCTACGTAACTTTAAAGGTGCAGAATGTGAAGAGCACCACCATCACAGTCCGAGGGGACCAGCCATGTTGGGAACAAGACTTCATGTTGTGAGTGTCACCCTGCTGCTGCTCTTTCTTTATTTCCTATGACTGACTGTATCAACATTTATTTATCACTAGGAATTTTCAGTGAACCATATGATCCATTTTCAAGTAACTTCTGACAATAGCTGCATACAGTATAAAGTCACTGTAAATATATGTTGTATGGAGAAACATATTTGTGTTTTGCCCTCCATTGAAATATCATATCTTTTTCTGGAGATTTAAATTGTTGCAAACATATAAAGCCAGCTTTCTTTTTTGGGGTATGTAATTCTTCAAATTTGCACGGATGAATTTACCTTTAAACATACATTTAAATTTCTATCACACATAATGCTCATGTAGCAAAAACAACCTATGGCCGTGTTGCCGTAGCTAAATGAGTACATGTTCCTTTGTATGTTCAGATTATTAACAGCTCTTCTCTTGTCAAATTTAACAGTTGCAAGGCGACAATAACATATTAAACAATAAAATACATTTTCATTATGGATCCATGGCACCAAGTTTGGGTAGCTAAAGTGAGTTACTTGGCTTCCAGTTACTCTTTTGGCTCAGTGGCTTCGTGTCATTCATATTAGCAGCGACAGCTTGTACGGCACCAACCTCTCGGGATGTATCAAGACAAATGCAGAGAGAAATTGAAGATTCGGAGTGTGTGTGTGTCAGCCCCTCAGATGAATACAGGCCAGACATCCACTGCTAGCTGACTTGCTAGCCGGCGTTAATTGGCCTTACTGAAATTGGAAGGGACCGTCGGACGCCTGTGGGACTCCAGTCTGGCCGGCTGGCACGAGCTACTAAATGGGAATTTGTGTTTGGAGGAGCTAGGATGGATGGAAAGCGAAATTACATGCCGAGCTCAGATAAGTGGATGAGTCAGTGATAAATCTAATGAATTGTTTGGTCCAGTCTGATTCCACCGGGGGAGAAAAAGGGCTGATGTAGAGATCCCACTTCACTTTTTATGCTCGGGGAAGTCGTGCTGCTGCTTGTATCCACATCCATCAGGTATTATTTTGGGGGAAAGTGTCTTTTAAGGAAGGTGTGGTCACATGTAACTAGTCGAATAAGAGAAAGCACTATCACTCTTTGGCTTGGCTTTGATTGGGCGAGTGTAGAAATCACAACATGTTTTCTGAGCTACATTTTAGTTTTGTCCACCAACACAAAATTGTTCATAAAAATGAGGCTTTGCCCTCGTCTCAGCTAAATTGGTTTTTGGAGTTTTGTTTTCCAGTTGCTCGGATGTACAGACATCTCGGTTTAAAGTGGGCTGAATTTGACAATCTAGGTTTTTATTTAACTATTGTTTCAATAGCATTTACTGAATGTATTTTAATGTGATGCAGGTTCTAAATGCATGTTGAAACATAGTCACTGTACTGGTTTTATGTAATTAAGAATTCAACCAGCCTAAGAGCCTACAGCCATGCTATAGCAGCTCTGTACACAGGAATAGTGGTGCTTTGAGCTAAATGCTAACTTCAACACGCTAAAATGCTTACAGTGAAAATCATAATGCAAAACGCTAAAAATGTCATAACTTCTCTTACATATGTTTCAACCTGAACTCTTAGTAAACACTAAGATCTGCTAGCTAGCTTTCTGTTTGACAAAAGTCACGCTGGCCCACTGACCAATCACGGCGCACGTTAATGCAGACGTACTTAGGAGGCTACCTGGGTAGCACCGGCACGTCAAAGAATACGCCCAACATGTCAAACTAAAGATCTGATTGGTTGAAGACTATGACAATCAACAATATCGTCCCCATTTACTTAAACTGCACAGGCTCTCTAGCGGGCATCGGGCCTCTCCAGAGGCATAGGGGCTGAATCTGATTGGATAAAAGCTCTCCATAAAACAAGCTGCGCTGGAAGCAGAGCAACAGAGGAAGAAGACAGGAGCTGTGCAATGAGAAAATAAGCTAATGGGAAAAAAAAATATAATACATATTTGTGAAAAATTATTAAATTATAAAATAGCTATAACTTTGTGATTCTGTTTAGGCCAGCAGAGAAGGCTTAGCTGGCCCTGACGGCCCACCACTGACACACACACACACACACACACACACACACACACACACACACACACACACACACACACACACACACTCACAGAGGCCTATAAGATTAATATGGCGATCGAAAGGCTATCAATTAAAAGAGATCATTCCACTTCATGATTTAAACCTATGTGATAGCTGGAAATCCTATCTCTCTGCAACATGAGAGGCTTGTTTACAAAACAGTTATATTTAATAAAATTAATATGCATTTAAACAGCCCTTAAAACACACGTCAGCATTAGGCATACTGTACACATTAATCTGTCTGTCTGTCTCACTTCAGTTATGTATTTTACTGCACAACAGACACAGATCTCTCCGGCAGACTGATCCCTGCAGACTTGATTAGAGGGATTGGATGGACTGACTGTGGATCCAGATGATTACACCTCCTTTCCATACATAATCTCTGCTATTACCTTGTCCTCCATCAGATCTCCTCTGACTGGTTTTTCCACTTTCATCATGTCTGTCAGTGCTTTCAGACAAAGAACAGATAACACATCGCACTGTACACTGTTGCTGAAGAAGAGATGTCTTCTTTTTCACAGCGAGAAGGTGGTTCTGGCAAATTATATCAAGAGTTCAGTCGAAGGAAAGTGCCATTTTAAATTACCATAATGGTTGAAAAGAAGTTGAGGATTATACAGAAAGGAAACCCCAGGGCCTCCTCCGCTAAATGCCTAATTAGAACCAAAGCCTCATTAGCAGCAGTGGCGTGCTGCGGTGATGCGCTGTCGGAGGTTCCGAATAGAAATTGCAACTGAGTTGATTCCCAGACTGAACAAAGAGGAGTGAGACCGACTTGTTTGTCGCGGGGCCAGCTCAAAGTGTGAGCTCAGATTATTGATTTAGATTATTGTATAAATGAAAGGATCACAGCGTATATAACAGAGAAACTGAAAGATTCAAACTATATGACATGGTGGGGATAGGAAATTATATAAAACGATTATTTGTGCTGTATTAATGATTTTACCAGAACAGATTATTACATAATATAATGGTTGAGACAAAGCATGCCACTCATAAGATTCAGATGTCTTGACTGATGCAGTTCAGAGATCTCCCGTAAAGGGTAGAATAGTGTAACACTTATTCTAATGCTATGGCACGAGCAGGTTGAGAAAAGTGTCATTTAATAAACTCTTGCTCTAAGTGCTTATTTCCGCGGCCATTTTGCCCTTTCTGAAGGTATGAGTCCCTCTGGGTGGTCACTCTTTTCAATTTGAAGCCACAGTGGTCACCGCTCATGCTAATTATCAGTTCACAAACCACGGTCACCATTTCAAAAGCGTGGAACTCCACTTCCTCCGCACCAGCCGCCCCGTCAGCAGGCCACAGACAATCTTTTCTCTAACAGGATATAGAATGAATGTACCGTAAGTCACAAATGCAGAAAAGTTAACTTTTACTTAATGTGACAAATGTGTGGAGTTTGCAGATCCTACTCGTTTCTCTAAAGACATGCAGATTAAGTCGTTAGGATCGGCTCATCGCCCTGCTTCACATTCCTTAAATTGCACTAATGCACCACTGTTTTGTTTTGTTTTGTTTGTCATGTTTTTCTTGTGTTGCGAATGGGCCACATTTCGTTGTGCACCCCTGAATAAATGAATCCTTGAATCAGAAAGTGGATGAAAGGAGGGAAATGTGAAGGTACAGTTTTGCATAATCAAGAAAAATCACCCGCAGTACTAATTCAGAATTTGTGCATTAATAGGCACTTTTTTTCATTTACCACTGTTATAAAAATAGACAACTGTTACCTGAGACTAAGTTTACACTGAACACCCAAAGTGTTAATTGTCCTCTTCTCACCAGAACAGTACACACTGGAAGATGAGTTACAGTAATGAACCAGGATGGAGGTACGCACATTCAAAAATCAAACAAAAGTTCTGCACACTGTATTAAAGGCAGAACAAACAATAGACGGAGACAAACAATTGTCATGCAACTTGCGTACTTCAGTAACACACCTCCGTAGTTATTTCAACCCAAACGATGACCTTTTCCTAAACCTAATGAAGTACCTTTGTTGCCTAAATTGTTGTTTCCTGTGAAGACTTAAGGAGTTTATTTTGAAAAGACTGTATGCATGTAACTAGTGGGAATGGACACGTTTTGTGGCTTTCGTAGGAAATCTCAAGAAAAATGGGTTGTAACTTTTCTGCAAAATATCATACGAACCTTTGTACGAGGAAACTTTGACAAACCAACGAATGTGTTCGTCTCTCTATAGTGTCTCTTGTGTCTCTTGTGATTTGATAATGCCCGACGAAAGTTACTGGAAGCTTTTAATACAATTAACCAGGATTCCCACAACACAAGAGACATCTTTGTTTGGTCTTTATTATATCTTAAGAATAGTAAAAAAGCCTTTCAGCATCACATAGGTAGAGTGCACACTCCCTGTCATTATTCTGAACATGTCACACCAAACATGTTTGACGCAAACGGGACTCCAGTCATAGCTGCTTTGCTTGGGAACTGCAGGGAGGTGACATTCTCACAGCTGGGCGGTGAAGGGGCGCTGAGGCCCTGCCAGATGTGCAGTCTGACTCTCTAACTGAGACCCCTCAGCAGCCACTTCTGTAAAAGAGCAGGTTGCTTAAGGTCACAGACCATCTGAGCTGAGGATTCATCCAGCTGGTGACTTTCACTGAAAGTTTCTTTAGAGATCCCCTCCACTTAACAAAGTGTTTTGCTTATTTCATGTCACCTTAAATATCTGACCTTGACTATACTGACTTGTGTCTGTTAAACACAACACTGGCAAAGAAACCTGGAACCTGAAACCAAAGTTTTGACAGAAAACAGGGTAGAGTGCACAGTTTTTGGATATAAACCATAACCGGATCCAAGATCCTGATGGTCAAAATGCCAAACTTGAGGCTTCTAAACCTCCACAAACCAACGGGTGACG